GAGGGGATTGAGTTCACCATATATACTGATCATGCTGCCTTGACCTGGGCTTTCAACTGTCCAAAAACCTCCTCTCGCCTGACCCGCTGGATCCTGCGGCTCCAACAGTTTCAGTTTAGAGTCCAATACAGGAAAGGACTCCATAACATCGTGCCTGATGCCCTGTCCCGAGCGGTGATACCTCCTTCATCTGCCGCCGTCTATGCTGCCGCGAAGGTTTACGCTTCTTCTGATCTGCCTTCCTCCCTGTTTGAAATAAGGGAAGCCCAAGAAGAAGATTTAGAGGTCACTAACCTAGCCAAAGGGGCAGACGATCTTAGTATGCGTGACCGGGTAGGCTTCACCAAACTACAAGGCCTCCTGTATCGACGGTCTCCTGTGAAGGACACAGGGGAGAAATATAAATTGGTCGTTCCCAAATCTCTTGTGCCTGTTTTTTTGGCCTATTTTCATGATCATCCTCTGAGCGGACATCTGGGCAGGTTGAAAACACTTCTGAGGATCCTTGAGGTAGCCTGGTGGCCGTCTATTCGAAAAGATGTTTGGACCTACGTCAAGGTGTGTGCCATCTGCCAGGTCTATAAGGCTGAAAATCAAAAGCCAGTTGGCCTCATGCAGCCTACTCCTGTGGAAGAACCCTGGGAAAAGCTGGGGATAGACCTTATGGGGCCTTTTCCCCGCAGTAAAAATGGTAACACCTTCCTTCTTGTCCTTGTGGATTATTTCACGAAGTGGGTGGAGATGTTTCCTTTAAAAGATGGCAAGGCACATCGAATTGTAACAATTCTGAAAGATGAAATCTTCACCCGCTTTGGGGTGCCACTGGAGTTGGTGTCTGACCGGGGGGCACAGTTTACCGGACATGAAATGAGTAACCTCTGTAAGACCTGGGGAGTGAAGCAGAAATTCACCACTAGTTATCACCCCCAAGCCAACCTCACTGAACGGTCCAATCGGACCATTAAGACAATGATCGCGTCTTACGTGGGGAACCAACATAAGAACTGGGACCAGTGGATCAGGGAGTTCCGTTTCGCCATCAATGCTGCATATCATGAGACCACGGGTCGAACCCCTGCAGAACTGGCGCTCGGAAGGTCCCTGAAAGGCTCCCTGGAGAGACTCATTAGTTCCCCTCCTACTCCTCAAGAGTCACCATACACCCTACTGGAAAGACAGAAACAACTGAATGATCAAGTCAAGAAGAGAGTTGAGGGATGTCAGTCCAGACAAGCCAGGTATTACAATACCCACAGGAGAGATGCACCACTTATGGTGGGAGACCTGGTCTGGGTCCGTACTCACCCGCTCTCCAGAGCATCGGAAAACTTCTCATCGAAGCTTGCGCCCAAGTGGTCGGGACCAGCCACTGTGATGAGAAAGTTAGGCCCCATTAACTACCCTGTACAGTGGAATGATCAAAATAAAAAGATGGACACTGTTAATGTGGTCAATCTGAAGCCCTACTTTGGAGTTCAGCCTCCGGTACCTCCAGCTGGGGGGGGGGGGGGGATCTGTAACATTATTAGATTAATGTAAAGGTTTCTTTGAGATGTTAACTTTTATGGTGTCATGAAACGTATTACATGGGTTATGGATAATGTTCATGTATGATGAATGATGCATGTCATGTATATGGTTCATTGTGTATTCCTGTTTAATATACTTAGGGTCTACTGTGTGTTTTGGTAATAATGGGGGATATCCCTTTAAGGTGGCGAATGGCCTTGATTAGGGGGCAAGGTGCACCTACGTTTTTTTAATGGTGGTGAGGTGTGTTTGGAAAAAGAGCGTGCCAGTATTGTTGACTGCAGCGCTAAAGAGTTAAAGCTGGGGTTTCCATATGGTTTTGAGAGTTTTTTCAACCGATACGTCAAGAGATGGCTTTAATGGGTCAAAAAATATTTTAACCACCAGGACTATTTACTTGGGTGCGCGTTTCCAGCAAGAGGACGTGTTTGGACCAAAGTTTGATAACTGTGTGAGTTAACATTGCCCGAAGATCTGCAGAGTTGGTGAGATCTGACTCATTTCTTTTTTTGAGTGGAACAACACAGAGCCAACGCTCTATTTTTTCCCTTGTTGTGGATTACGTTTTTTTTCCGTCACGGAGCCAACAGAGGATTATTGCTCGCGAACTGACTGTATCTTGGTTGGAAAGACTGTAGCGCGATCTTGAGCCAGCCTAAAAATCTTTTCGGGTTAAGTTTATGGACTGGGACAGAAGAGTGGGGAAACTGTGGGGTTGCAAGCACGGGACAAATTTTCTTTCATAATATACGACGCTCAGCGCGTCAAGCAAATGAACGGGTCGATAATGTGTGTGTGTTTTTTTTTTTTGTGAATGATGTTCAGCGCCGTCTGAAGATTTGTTTTGGTGCGGTGTGTGTTATTAACTCCCATGCATTTGTGCTTGAGCATGGTTATCTGATAAAGAAAACATTAAGAATGTGTTACGATTGAAGTGTATGCTTTTTCTGATTATTGCTGTCATTCTAAAAATCCCCTTGTGCGTTTATAGTGACACATCTGTTGAAAACAAAGAGAATTAAAAGGCAGAGTGTTATAATCCTACTATCAACATAACAGAATGAACCGGCCAAGACCGAACCCAGCAGACAGCTCGCCTATTTACCCTACTCTGCAGTCGTCAGACCCCGAACGATGATGGCAGTCGGCCATCGCTGACAGCCTGGAAGGCAGGCTTCCTTTCCCTCCTCAGGGTAGGTTGACCCTGAGGGAGTACGCCCAGGTTGTGAAGGGGAGGAGGTTTTTCTTGCCGGAGATCCTGGTCAACCGCTACCTCATCGCGGGTCTTAACGTCCCTCCTCCTCTCGCCGAATTAGAAAGACTGGTCAGCCGCCCGTTCCACAGTATGGTGGACAGTCTGTCACGGAGGGAGCTGCAGGGTGCTACAAGGTCTTCATCTCCCGCTACACTTCCTGTGATCCCTGAGGGTCGTCTGTTAGCAGTTGCTACACTTGGGGACCAACCCAGTCTCGCCGCGACTCCTGAGACACCTTCAACGTCCATCAGTCTTCATGGTAAGCGTGGAAGGCACCCGTCATGGGAGTCAGCATCGGAGTCTTCCTGCCCGGAATCCTCCTCGCCGCCTGTGAGTTTCCCAGTTCCTGTAACGGTTCCTGCCACACCTCCCTCTCCGGTCAGTAGTCTGGCAACCGCCTCCGCTCCACAACCCAGGAAGAAGAGGAGGAGGGGACCTTCTGGTTCTCCGTCTCTACCTCCCCCTGAGCCCGCGATGGCTCTCCAACCCGCCGCTGAGGTCAAAGGCGCTGTTCCTGGCCCCGCTGCTGTAAGCGCGGTTCCGGTATTTGCAACAGGAGGCACAGATCATCAACCTGCTGCAGAAAGCGCTGTTTCCCAGTCAGCGTTGGGGAGATCCATTCCAGAGATTGGCACAGTGAATGTCGCCTCTGAGTCTTCTGTCATGTCTGCTGAAGACAGAGCAGCGGCCGATTTCGCTGCAAAGGCTGTGATACAGTCCGTTTCGGCTCATCAGGAGATGCCAGTCATCATCGCTGCCAGAACCCTGTCCGAATATTTATCCTGTCTGGCCAGAAATCTTGATGTCCAAGTCAGTCCTGTTTCATCCCCAGTCCCCGTTTCAAATGCTCCAGAGAGCGCCGATCCTAGTCCAGTTACTGTGAGCGCTGATCCCAAGTCTGCTACACAGAGCACCAATCTCAAGTCAACTGCTGAGAGTCGTGATCTCAGTCCAACCGGAGTGAGCGCTGGTCCTAAGCCAGCTGCCGAAGGTGCTGATCCCAGGCCAGCTGCCAAGGGCTCAGATCCCCAGTCGGCTACCTTCGACGCCTCAACTGAATTTGAAGTGAGAAGTGTCGATTCCGGATCGTCTTCCCTGATCTCTGTCCCTGTTCCAGCTCCTCAATCGTCTGTTTCAACCCCTGTCTTGTGTCCCGCGCCTTCGCCTGCCTTGTCCCCCGTCAGGAGTCCTGTTTCGTCATCCTCTGTTTCCTCTGTGTCTGAGTCTGTTGCTGCTGCCACTAATGCAGTATCCCAGTCTGTTTTCCCGGTCTCTGTTTTCCCGGTCTCCCTTGTCACCACTAGTCCCCAGACTGTTTCCCCGTTTGTCCCTGTCTCCGCAAGACCCCGGACCTCTAGATCTTCTCCTCGTACGTCCCCGTCCAAGCCTGCCCAGAGTCCTCGTCCCCAGTCCTCATCCCATGGACCTAAGATCCCTTGCACATCGACCCACCCTGAACCATCCCTCACGAACTCTGGTACACCTCCTACGAACTGTGTTTCCTCCACCCCCTTTGCCTTGTATGTTGTTTTTGATGTTTCATCCCAACCCTGTCATAGTTTTTTCTTGTATGCCTTTATTAGTGTTTTCCATGTTTTGTTGGTTTTTATCTATGTCACGGTCTGTCTTGTCTTGTGTTTAGTTTCCCTTTGAGGAGCGTCTGGAAGCCGCTCCTTAAGGTGGGGGTTCTGTCATGATTCTGCCATAATGTCTTTTGATTTCTCTGGTCTTGTGGCAGAATCATGACAGATCCGTGTTTTGTGTACAAGCTCATGGCCTTTTGCTTGGGCCATGTGCTTGTGTTGTCTCGTTACGTAACCCCGCCCCCTTGTTATCCTCGTCTCGTCATTATTGTCTAGTCAGTTTCACCTGTTCTCGTCATTAGTGTCCCCTATTTAATCCCTGTGTATTTGCTGTCCTGTGCCGGTTCATTGTTTAATGTAGTGACCTACTTTGTGTCAATCAACCGTAAGTTACTTGTTGGAAGTCTGTTCAAAGAAGTGTTTGTTTGTTCCTGTCTTAGTTATTAGTCTGAATCTTAGTCTAGTCTATCCTGTCTTGGTTTGCCCCATCGTGGGTATTGTTTTCTGTTTTTGTCTTTAATAAATCCCGTTTGAGTTATCTGCTGTCTGCTATTGGGTTCATCCTACTATCCACATAACAGAGACTGATCAAATGTTTATCTGTCATTATTTATGATTTATTACATCACCAGAAAGAATCTCCTGAATAACGTGTCGTCTGGAGCCGATCTCAGCGCTCAGAAAGCCCTGGTGATCATCACAGATGGAGACCCTAGTGATAATGATGAGGAAAATGTCCTCAACAGATGCAATGAGCAAAATATCCTCCGCTTCATCATTGGGGTGAGTTTCCTTAAAGGTGAAGTATGTAGTTTCTGCGCTGCTAGTGGCACCGAGGGGAATTAAGAAAATAAAGTATATTTTCAATCTTGCAATCACACCTTTTGTGTGTCGTGGCTTCCCCGTGAAGGCATTTCTCTACAGGTTAAAGTAGGCTACTTCCAACAAAAGGTCCAACATATTAGGAATACTTTTAGCTGTGTTGCTATGTGTCATGAGTAAGCAGTTGAGTAGGGCAGGCTAACGCTGTCTAGAGCGAATGCAAGAGAAAAATAGAAAGCAGTTCAGTACACTTGAAATCAAATCGCGATGTAGACTAATGTGTGTGAATATTAAAAAACAAAGACTATTTAAAAACGAATCCTGCATGTTCTGTGTGAATGAATGGTGCCGCCGACGCGCAGTTTCATTTACCACACACACACACACACACACTGAAGCACGTGTGACGCTTGCACTGTTTTTTTGGCCTATATGAAGACACAAATGCATGAACTTCCTCTCCAGACTCTAGATCCACTCTGAAAGTCACTTCGTGAGCATTTCAGATTTCACCGCTTCATTTGAGAAACTATCATCATGACATAAACACACAGAAACTCAAAAGGTCTTCACGGCAACCCGTCAAAATAAAAGTTCGGTTTAACTTGACAGAAATATATTACTGTTGTACATTAGAATTTAGATATGTCCCAATGTAATAATACACTAACACTAATCCAAATAAATTATCATCAAAACTGAAATTCTTAAGGAATAATCCATGTTTTAATTTTAACAGTAAAGCTCATTGTGCAGCACGTTATTTGACAAAAAGTTTTTGATTTCATATGATTAAAATTGATGATAAAATTTGTGTTTTATGTCTTCATTTTATTACCAGAAAAAAACAACACAGAATTAGTGTGAATTTTTTTCCATATATTTAAAAAAAAAAAATGTTTGTGTACAAAATGTACAAGTTTAATGATTCATAATACATGATTTCAATTAATAAAAAAAAAAAAATTACACCACGTATCCGTAACACGCCCGCTCCGCAACACTACCCACCCCCCTCCCCCCCCCCCTCGATTACGTATGCCTCATAATCACATTTTGGCCTTGATGACATTGTCATTGCCAACTTTATCGTCAATTCTACTATATGTACAGGACATACAGAGGATAGAAATTTCTGTTTCAAACTGTTTTCCTGAAATCACTGTTTGTGCATAGCATAGAGTAGTGGCGTAAACCGAAAACATCATTGTCTTTGACTTCTCTTATAAACAGCCTTGTTTTGCAACAATAGCTCACTCCGACATGGACTCTCACTGCTCTGATCGCTCAGGGATTCTTTTCTACATTGATCATCGGACCTCAGCCCATTGCAGTCTCCTCGCTGCCGAGACCTGAACACATTCCTGCACCACTGCATCTGACCAGCCTGCCTCGCTCATATTCTCTGTTTACTAAATAAACTTTCTTAACATTCGCTACTTGATCTTGTGTTTTCTAGCGTGACTAGCCTGGTTAAAACCAGGCCGCGCGCTGTTCCAAAAAAAGCCGTGCACACAGCCAAGCGAAATGGTGTCTTGCCGGTCTTGCGCACCGAACACGTCATTTTTGCCGCGCTCGTGCGGACGCGTCGAGTATAAACAAGGCTTTACTTCGTGCCAGCGCGCGCTCTGATCGGTAAAGGGGCACAGACCTCTCCCGAATCATCTCCAGCCTCCGAAGCACCACTAACTCCGCCTCCGTTTCCCTCGTAAGCTGATATTAGTTTTTAAACATTCTCTATGATAAACATTTTTGTGAAAAAAATATTTTAATAACATTGTTTTGGCGGTTATAGAGTTCTAATGACGGTGTTCAACTATAACCGTCACACCCCTAGTTCCACGGCGGCATCCATCTTGGTAAATGTACTAAATCTGCTTCACCGTCGCTGTGCTGTCGTCATCGTGTAAAGCCCGCCCCAACGCTTCTGATTGGTGCCGCGATTTCGACGGATTGGAAATGGGCTTGAATGAGCTCTTTGCCAGACTAACTTGCAGAGCAAATCTAAATTTGCGGAAGTTGTCTGGGTTTTCCCAGGCTATAGCGTGACACAAGTACTCCCTGTTTTGTTCAGTTCTTTGTCCTGTCTCATCAGTGTTAAGGTTGTTTCATGCATTTTGCTATTATTGTTGGATTAAAGACTATTTCTCCTTTGTTGTGCGCTTCCTTGCAGCAACCAGTGACACAAAGGGTGCTGTATTTATTTATTTATATTAACTGTACTATATTGTGATGCATAGCGGGCTCATATTTAAATATGTGGGTAGTTGAACTTTTCTTTTCTAGTGCTTTTCATCTACTTTATGATCACTTAACATTAGTGTAATGAAAATTAAGTTTTCCTAAAGCTCAATGTTGTACTTTACTATATCTGCATTCATTCATGTTGTATACTGTAGTAGAAATTGAGCTGCAAAGTCATTCCTGATTCCCAATGAGAGTTTTTATTTTGGTCACAGTGTATTTAAACCTATGTTAGGTTTACTGTGTCATCTGAGGCAAAAGAGAATATGATTTTTACTAAAATATTCTTGACCTGTAAGTTTGAGGTTTGTACAAGTTGGTGTTTAGTTATGAGATTGTGTTTATAGTTGTGAGAAAATGGTGAATTGTTTAATGAATCTTGTTAGCAATTGAGAAAAACTGTAAGTGTGAAAAGCCCTAATGGCCTGTTTCAATTTGCATAGTTAAAGGTGTTTTTGCACAGTCAGACTTAATGACATTTGTGTTTGCCAGGTGGGACATGTTGACTTAAACACACTCAGGGAGCTGGCTTCAGAACCAAGGATAAACAACACCTTCTACATTCAAGACTACAGTGGACTCAAAGGACTTCTTGACAATCTGCAAATAAAGATCTACAACATTGAAAGTAAAATGCAAGCGTAAAGAAAATGGACACGCTGTATAAAGTTTTAAATAAAAGCAGCTAATGAAGAATCCACTGATGATTTAAGAGTTTTCCTTCTGTGGTTTCAGGGTCAAAGGACGCACACAGCATATACAGACCGAAAGAGTTATCACAGAGTGGATTCAGTGTCCTCTACCACAAGGTCAGAAATATGTCATATTTAAAGTATATTTCCCTATCAAGGGAACTCCCGCTGCATAGTTACGCTGTGGGAACACCCCTGTGTGATTGCATCGTGAAGCAAGTGTATAATCAGTCCAATGGAAGAGCGAGACGTCATAGGCGGGTGACGTTATAGACCAGGAAGCTATAAAGCACCCCTGAAAGCAGATCGTGTCAAGATTCAAGATTCAAAGGTTTTATTTGTCACATACTCATACAAGATGCGCAGTGAAATGTTTTTGTGACATGTACTGTACTTATGTGCTCAAATGTAATAAAAAAGAAACATAAAAATAAAAGAATACAATAGAATACAATAATTACAAAACTATATTATAAGAATATTATATAAGTTAAACCCAGATCAACAGCCAGATGTACAAATGTTAAAGTTCAATGACTTGGATAAAAATGTTAAAAGTGTATTAAAGTTAAAAGTGTTCAGGGTGCAGAATTCAGGGGTCTGATTGCCGCAGGGAAAAAACTGTTCCTCATCCTCTCTGTGCGTGTTTTATGACAGCGCAGGCGTCTGCCTGACATGAGGGTTACAAACTGTTTATTGCAAGGGTGATGGGGATCCTTGGTAATCATTCTGGCCCTGTTTGTACAGCGTGTGATGTATAAGTCATGCAGAGGGGGAAGTGTGGTGCCCATGGTCCGCTCAGCGGTCTTCACCACCCTCTGCAGGGCTCGCTGGTCCCCACAGGACCTGTTACCGTACCAGACAGATATGGCTCCAGTCAGTATGCTCTGTACAGCAGCATAGTAGAAGGAAATCAGGACCGTTGGGAGACCTTAAATCTCCTGAGCTGTCTGAGGTGATAGAGGGGCTGTCTTGCCTTTCTCACCACGGTGTCCGTGTGTACAGTCCATGATAAATCCTCAGAAATGTGCACTCTGAGGTATTTAAAACTGCTCACCCTCTCCACTGGTGTCCCGTCTATAAGGAGAGGGGTGTAGGTCCTGCGACGTTGTGGGCAGAAATCCACCACCATCTCCTTGGTCTTCTCCCCATTTAGCAGTAGGCTGTTGTCCTTGTAAGGTCTGACACCTCATGTAGATAGGCCTGCTCGTCGTTGTTGGGCCCACCACAACCGTGTCGTCCGCGAATTTCACGATGGTGTTGGAATTGTGCCTGGCGGCACAGTCGTGGGTATACAGGGAGTACAGCAAAGGACTCAGCACACAGCCCTGAGGGACACCAGTGTTGAGGACGAGGGGGTGTGATGTGTGCCCTCCCTCTCTGACAACCTGAGGCCTGGCAGTCAGGAAGTCCAGGATCCAGGCACACATTGATGGATTCAGGCCCAGGTCATACAGCTTAGTAGCCAGCCTGCTGGGGACTACAGTGTTGAAAGCTGAACTGTAGTCTATGAACAGCAGTCTGACATAACCCCCTCTTACAATGTCAAGGAGGGTGGCATGCATGACCTGGGAAATGGCATCGTCTGTGGATCTGTTGGAGCGGTAGGCGAACTGCAGTGGGTCTAAGGTACTTTGAAGAGAGGAGCAGATGTGGTCCTTTATCAACCTTTCAAAGCACTTTATGACCAGCGAGGTCAGTGCTACGGGACGGTAGTCGTTCATACCGGCTGGGGAGGCGTTCTTGGGCATGGGGATGATGGTGGACATTGCTAGCTTCGAAATGTGCATAGGAGTTCAGTTCGTTCGCCAACGTCGCGTCCACACTCACCATGCAGGGCCGATCCCTTTTATAGTCCGTGATCTCATGTAATCCCTGCCATATGCTTCAGTCAGTCACTCCACGTCACTCAGTTCTTCGTGTAGCGTCTCCTCTGATTCAGCTGTCCAGCGTCTGACCTCGCGTCATTTTCTATTTATATTCCGGGATCAAAAAAAATGCCGTTATGATCAGATTTCCCAAAAGCTGGGATAGGAATGGATTTGTAGCCTTTTTAAAGGGTGTATAGCAGTGATCTAGTGTCTTGTCATTCCTGGTGGGACACTTGATAGATTCTGTGCAGATTCGGATTCTGTGCCTTCAGCAAGCGCTCTCTGTTTCAGTCCTTGTCTATTTATTGTTGTCTGTCAAGTTCACAATATATACAGTGTATATATATATATATATATATATATATATATATTAGGGGTGTAACGATACACGTATTCGTATTGAACCGTTCGGTACGAGGCTTTCGGTTCGGTTTTCGGTACGCATTTTTGAACCGAACGGTTCGTTGGACCATTTTTCCTGCCGACCAAAATTTCGTTATTTCAAATGAAGGCGCGTCACGCGTGGCAAGCGCGCTCATAATGTGCGTGACCACAACATTGCCCAACATCAAATGGCAAATGTAATGTAAGCGGAACGAAACCACTCGTTATTGTGTGGTTGAAGGACCGTTTATCAGTTTGGACAAATACAGCGCGAGCCGATCTTAATCATCAGCACTGTTACTACACAGCCAAATCCAGTAAAGAAAGCATTTGAATTCGCCACTGAAGTAATAACATCGCTGCAAGATCTAGTGAGAAACATTCGCATTTCTCCGTTATTAACGGATCAAACAGCGCTGACGTGGAAACCAGGAAGAAACATTGTGCCATGAATGAACTATCCAGTGTCCACAGATCAGCAACATTCACCATGGGTTTACTGTAGTAACACTACTAACTGTAACCATGAAAGTTTGGCAGGAATAGTAGGCTATAATGCTTTCAAGTAACATCACGTCGGTTTTATTTTGACATTATGAATACAATTGCTGCCCTCAAATGTTAATCTGAACTAAAATAAACCTTTGTTTATAACTACTACAATATTACATTTAATTTTGTCCAAGGAGCTGTTTTGTTTTATAAGCTCCTAAGAAAAGTCAAGTATAGCTCCATCATTGCTCAAAGTTAAAAAAATATCATACTTTATGATGTTAGTTTTAATAAAAATATAATTAAAAAGATTAAATCAAGGAAATTTCTCTGGCATTTCTTTCTTTTTGCTGTATCGGAAACGTACCGAATCGTACCGAACCGAACCGTGACACAAGTGTATCGTATCGAACCGAACCGTGAATTTTGTGAACCGTTACACCCCTAAAATATATATATATATATATATATATATATTCACAATATTACTGGGGTTACTCTTGCTCGGGTTGAGGCACCAATGCTGCAGCTATCCAGTTCCGAGGAATTGGATGTTGCTAGTATTGTTAAAGGGGATTATGATTCTTCACCAGCTCATACCTCTGGTGATGAGGAGCTTATGAAGGTCTTATCTCGTGCTTTAGCTAAATTAAATATTGACTGGCCAGCCAATGATTCTGAAGGAAGTGTTATTAAAAAGAGTTTACTAGATGAACGATATTTACCATCTAGAACACAGCCTCCACGTCGGGGACTCCCATTTTTCCCCGATCTCCACACTGAGGTGTTGAGATTGTGGACTAAACCGGCATCATTCAGAGTTTTTAACCCGCAAACATCCAACTACAGTAATGTTATGGGTATTTCTGATTATGGTTATTTTACATTGCCTCGGGCGGAAGAGACGCTTCCGAGCTATCTCTCCCCCGAGTCAGCTTCATCATTAAAAGCCCCGACGTTACCCACCAAGCCTTTAAAATCTTTGTCCACGCCGGTGGGTAAAGCATATTCTGTTGAAGTACATCGATGAACGTGAGGAAGTCAGTGCAGACCCCGGGCCACCAAGGAGATGGCCAAATCAGTGGGCCGGTCTATGGCAGCCCTGGCAACGGAGCGTCATCTTTGGTTAAATCTGTCTGATATAAAAGATAAGGATAGGTCTGTTCTTCTGGACGCCCCGCTTTCGCCTTCAAGTCTGTTCGGCGACGCTATGAATTGTGTCGTCGATAGGTTTCAAGAAACAAAAAAGCAATCAGCTGTGTTCCAGAGGTTTCTTCCTCGACGTTTCGATGTACCCGAGACTGTAACACAGAAACTGTTGAAACTGATTTAACTGTCGATTGCTCCTGACTACCTCGTTGCTGCTGTTGCGTTTGTTTGCGTCTGTAAGCTTCGTATATCTTTCTGTTTTGAATCACTATTTACTATTACTACATTCCTTGTTTTTTATACTGATAAATATAGCTTACCCAACATTACACATTAACCTGACATCACTAGCTTCTATCTAAAACGTTATTGGTAGCACAACATGCTAGTAATTCGCTAGCCTGTTAGCGTGCCATCCGTGCGCTCTCTATTTATTTATTTACTTTTTTCTATACGTGACTTCCTCACGTTCATCGATTTATTTACTTTCGCACCTTTTACGAGTTTTATCAAACAATATAGGTGAGTAGGATCAGTCAACAAACACGGTGAGTCATGTCATTTTCTCCTCTCATTGTCACCTTCACTTCATGTAACATGTATAGCATAGTCCTCTCTGTCAGCATAGGATGTGATAAATCCAGGGAGATAGTCAGGCTGACGGAGAAGATTTCAGAACTAGAGACACCCATCCAAACTTTAATCGAGGTTAATTGTAAGAGTGCAAGGGCTTTAGATACGGCTTTAGATACTGCTTTGGATGTGACTAGTTTAGTGAACTCTGTACATTGTTTGGTTCCAGCTGTAGTAGAGCCCGTGCAGCAGGGCAATTGGGTGACGGTAAGACGTCATAGTCATGGGACAAAACACCACTCTTCCGTTCCGATTACCATAATAATAATAATAATAATTCATTGTATTAATATAGCGCTTTTCTCTGCACTCAAAGCGCTTTACATAGAAGGGGGAATCTCCTCATCCACCTGGATGATGTGACGGCAGCCATAGTGCGCCAGAACGCCCACCACACACCAACTTACTGGTGGAGAAGAGACAGAGTGATGAAGCCAATTGGTATATATATACTGTATATGGGGATGATTAGGAGGCCATGATGGACAGAGGCCACTGGGCAAATTTGACCAGGATGCCAGGGTTACACCCCTACTCTTTCGAAAGACATCCTGGGATTTTTTTGTGACCACAGAGAGTCAGGGCCTCGGTTTAATGTCTCATCCGAAGGACGGTGCTCTTTGACAGTACAGTGTCCCCATCACTTTTATTGGGGCGTTAGGACCCACACAGACCACAGGGTGAGCGCCTCCTGCTGGCCTCACCAACACCTCTTCCAGTGGCAACCTGGTTTTCCCAGAAGGTCTCCCATCCAGGTACTAACCAGGTTCAGCCCTGCTTAGCTTCAGTGGGGTGATATGGCTGCTGGCATATAACCATAACCATAACAAATAGATTCTCCCCCCTCAGTGAAACACCCACTGAGAATCCTGTTGAATGTGCCCCAGTTATTGGCGAAATAAAAGTGCTGGCTAATGCTAATCTTAAATTCTCTAAGATTATTGTTCACGTCGACACTAATGATGTTCGACTTCGCCAGTCGGAAATCACCAAAATTAACGTTAAAGAGGTGTGTGAACTCGCAAGTATGATGTCAGGCACTGTAATTTGCTCTGGCCCCCTTCCTGTTCGCAGGAGTGATGAGATAGTTAGTAGACTGTCCTCACTCAATGGATCAATCAGAATCATATTCCACAGACGTGTTTAATAATATTTAAAATGATTGTTAAAACATGTTAGATGACTAAATATATTTTTCTTTACTAGTTAATACATAGTAGACACCTTAAAATATGCATATGCAAATCCAACAGTTTGATAAATTCTTTATACCTTAGTATTAGCATTTGTCACTGAATGATTTTGTTGAGGCGGTCTTTTTTCTTTTTCACTTTTTTTGCTCAGCAAAAGTCAAATTGAAAGACTGACATCTAGAGGACATTCTAAGGAAAAACACGGTCAAGGAAACATGGACAAGTAGATATAATGTA